CCAGCGGTAAATTGAGGGACCTCTAACGAGAAAATCCGGAATTTTATTCCTCGTGGTGGACAGACCGCAGATTGCCAATTGACTAGCTTTGCGCTAAAACAAACAGACTCTCTTTCAGCTGTGGGCGCTTTACCAAAGTAACAGTCAATCTCGTAATCATTTATTAATTCACACTGTGAGTTTGTTCGTTCATGTGATGTAATACACCTACCAGTGAGGGTGAGGGGGCTAAAACGCACCTGAAAGGTCATCCAGGCATGATGGGGAATAGAAGTAGGTCTTCACGGGCATCGGGTTTCGTGTTCCTCTTCTGGATTTAGAGAGTGCCATGTTTGAAACTGTTCATACTCCCCTTTCACAAGCTGATGGGACCAAACTTCTTATACGTGCTCAGCTATCATGAGTGTTTGTCTTTTTTTTTGTTTTTTGTTTGGTATGAACCCCTTGATTTAAATTTGAAAAGTAACTGAGGTAATGAAGAGGATTAATCAGTACACTGGGGCCTCTTTGAATCATGAGGGGGACTTTGAATCCTACAGTGGAGTGTGGGTATTATATGCTAGATTAGTTTTTAAAAAGTGGATAAAATCAATGTGATAGTAGGTGCTGCTAGCTGACTGTATTTTCTCTGACCAGAAGTTGAAAATTTTCGGATCTTTGACCTGGCCGTTTAGCCTAGGTGCGCATAAGGTACCATTCACGTTTTAAATTCCAATTTTTGAACTGGAAGATTAAGAAATTGGCTAACGAAGCAACTTTGTTAATTAAACAAACATCATATAACTTACTTAATTTAGCCTTCTTTATAACTGTGTCAGTAAACCAGTGTGAAAGCAAATTCTGTGTTTTTACTGAAAACCACAATGCTAATTTCAGGACGATATCTTAAATTTTTACATTAAATTGAAATTTTAGATTCTTGGTTAAAAGTTTTTTTCACATTTAGTTCAGAAAGTTTTTATCAGTATTCTGTTACAGAGTTGAGTACGTTATATTAAAACGATTTTGAATGGAAAATTAGCAATTCACGTGACAACCACAGTTGATATAAAATCGCGGTGGAACGGCAAGTATCAAAACTACATTTTGACATTTTTGGAGGATCGTGAATCGAGGAAAATGGATCGCCCTTTCAGGCGTAAAATAATCAGACACTGAAATTATTACAAAGATGTGTTCAGATCGAAGATTTAGAATTTCCAGCATATGGTAGCTGTTGTAGTTAATGGCATTGGAAAACAAAGGAATATGGATAAACATGGGACTCCACAACCATCCAGAAAGAGACCTGCAGCAATCAAATTGTACCTCAGTCATGATAAACAACGTGCAACGTTTGTAACAAGTAAGAACCCGCGAACGAAAAGATCAGTGTTAAACCTCAAGCTCCAATATGCAACATCATCAAGAAGGATCTCCGTCTGGAAAAGCAACATAACTCACGTCAACCGTCGAATATCACAAGCAGGTAGAGTATGAAACTGATGTTCGTGTTATTCCATACAAGTACATGCTGGTCAACCTAGGAAACTGTTGTTCCTGTACATTATGTGGTTTATGGAAAGCGTGCAGGAAGTAGTGTTGTGTTTCGGACACGACAGCCTTATGACGGAGCTTTTTGCAATGGAAACTACGCTGCTATTGTGGAGATGCATAGCTGGATAGAATATGACCGTACATGATGATATGAACTCCACGGCGTGCGTATGCTCAAAAATCGTTTTAATATAACGTACTCAATCCTCTGTACAACTCTGGTTATATATATTGATATCGAAACTTCTCTAACTTCCAGAAGTTTGCACAATCAATATGATTGCAAATAAATTGACCAACTTGTTGTTAAAACAAAAAGCAATTTGATATGTTAAAATTCCATGATGAATAATATTTTTTAGTAGACGTGAGGATATGGAAACGTATAAGCATGTCACTAAGAAGAATATGAGTTATATTTCTTTCATCATTATAATGGTTTGATC